TAATATTGATAAACTTAACCCTTCCCAGCAATACAAGGATCTAAGAGATCTCCAGAGGCCTCATGATGGAAAATGCTATCCACATCCAAAGAAAGAACTATCAAGTTGAATTGTTATTTTTTTTCTCTTCTGTTCAGTTTTGTTTTCTCTTTCTGATGGTTCCTTCTATTGGTTTTAATTTTTACTTACAACATCACTAATGTGAAAATATGTTTAATAGGAATGTAAATGTATAGCCTATATCAGATTGTGTGCCATCTTGGGGAGGGTGTTGGGGAGGAAGGGGGAGAAAAATTTTAAACTCAAAAGCCTATGGAAGTGATTACTGATAAATTAAAATAAATTAATAAAATTCAAAAAAAAGAATTAGTCAGCTATAAATAAAATTCATCCATCTAGTAGGAAAGAGCACTGCATTTGGAATGAGAAGGCCTTGATTCAAATGCTGTCTCATTTATTTACCATGTGTATAACTTGGAGTAGGAAGATCTGAGTTCAAATCCCACCCCCCCAAGAGACTTGCGAGATATGTCATTCAACCTTTCTGGGCCTCAGCTTCCTAATCTGTAAAATGGGGAGGGGGGTTATAGCAGATGATCTCCAGATCTAAATTAATGATTCTTATCAATTCCTTCTCTGCTCCCTTCCTTTAAAAAAAAAGAGGATTAAAAAAATTCTAGGGGCAGCTAGGTGGCACAGTGGGTAGAGCACCGGTCCTGAAGTCAGGAGGACCTGAATTCAAATCTGGCCTCAGACCAAACATTTGACATGTACTAGCTGTGTGACCCTAGGCAAGTCACTTAACCCCAATTGCCCCCCCCAAAAAATTCTAAACTTAATGATCTCAACAAATATGAACCTGTAAACTAAATAGGGAAAGAACTCTCAAATAAATTTTAAATTCCAAATTATTTGCATTTTAGTAAGCAAAATTGGAAATGTTAATAAAATAAAGACAGGCACCACCGATTTGTTCTGTGCCTCCTTCCTTCCTGTCTTCCTGTGTACTTCAAGAGTTTAGTCGTTATTGTTTGTTTATAAATCCAAGTCAACGAGAGCCCTATTTTTATAATTCTATTTTCTCCCTACCATTTTCCTTTCATATTTGCCCTCCTGTCCCACAGATTGATTTGGTGACTGATGCTTGTAAGCATCAGTCCTGGGAACAGTTCTCAGGAAGGAGAAGCTGATTCAAATGAGGTTGGTGGGTTAACACGCATGGAGATGAATTATGTAGACCTCCCTGTCCCCCTGAGATACCAGCCTTCCTCCCAAGTGTAGACAACGTAGAACCTCGGTCTGCTAAGAGAAAGAGCCCTGCATCTGAGATAGGACTCACCAAGCACAGGAGTGTAATACTTGGAGAAAACTTCATCCTTGGGTCGATCTGGGAATACATAGATGAGATAGTTCAGGTCTCCTAGGCGGTCGGCCAGGGATCGGATGGAGAAATCCTTCGTTGTGAATGGCTTCAGGTTCCACAGATTCCGATCCGCTGTGGGAAAAGAAACTCATACTTTAAGGGTTAGGGAGGGAAAGGGGGGGAGCTAGGTAGCGCAGTGGGTAGCTCACTGGACCTAGAGTGAGGAAGGCCTGAATTGATTCCTGCCTCTGATACTTACTAACTGTGTGATTCTGGACAAATCACTTAACCTTTCTCTGCCTCAATTTCCTCATCTGTAAAATGGGGATAACAATAGCACCTAACCTCACAGGGTTGTTGTGAGGATCAAATGAAATAGTGTCTGTAAAGTGCTCTGCAAACCTTAAGGAGCTATAAAAATGCTATTATTATTACCTGGAAGCTTCAACTTTCTCAAGAAATCAAGACATTTACCACCACCCAATCTCCTCAGTGTAATGAAAGGAACCATTTCAGTAATGTGCCAAGATGGACAGTCTAATCTCCCCAGCTATCTAGTTGTCTGCAAGGCTGGAGAAATTACCCAAACTCAGTTCCTGATTTGGTGAAATGGTAAGAAGAAAAACTGCTTTTGATCAACTCCCTTCCCTACGTGTGAAGCTCTTGGCATCTCTTTTGTTTCCTCAATTCAAGATCTGAAAGGGATAAGCAAGGTGGAGAGTGAAGGAAAGAGAAGGAAAGAAAGTCAGGGAAAGGAAAAGTAAAGGAAGGGAGGAGGAAATTGAGCAGTTTGTCGTGCTGGGGGCCTGGGGACTCACGGGAATCAAACTTCCAGGCAATGGTGATGCCCCCAATTTCAGAGTCACTGAATCGCAGCAGGAAAGTTCCATCAGGTTTGTTGATGAGCAGGTCATGGGCCTGCTGCTTGTTCACGAAACCCAGGATGGCCCTAAGGGAGGAGGAGCATGATGGGGGCTTTCTTACCCCCTGCTCAAAGTCTGTCAAAGCTGCCTTCCCTGCTTGATCCCCAAATTCCAGAGCTAGACCTCGGCCCAGTCCCACCCCTACCACTCCCATTCCCCCAAGGCTGCCCTGTGCCATAGCTCCTTACCCATCATTCCAATGGGGCTTGTGATGCTTCCTCAGTACATCCATCACCCCATCAAACCACTGCCAGAATGTGTAATTCCAGCCTGGCAGGTTCTCCTAGAACAGCCCCGACCCCCCCCAAAAAACAAAGAGATCTGAGTTGAGGCTCTTACTTGGAATACCTTCCCCCAGATCAAGCAGATGGTAGTAGTCTATTCTCCATCCCTTCCTGAATAAAACCTGCTCCAAAAGTCTAAATTATCTCTCCTATCTACTACCAAGTAAGCTTCAGAAACTCCCCATGGGA